ACAAGACACACACACACAAGACACACACACACACACACAACACAAAATTTTGATAGATACTAATAAAGCATATATCAATAAATTTTAATAAAAAATAAACTAAAATTAATTAAATTTGAAATTAATATTGTTTAACATTAATATTATGTTAGAATGTAACTTGTATTTTTATTCTTACTAATTTTATATTTTATATTCTTATCTATGATGTACTTTTATGCTAAGAATATGTATTTAAGAGTGTACAAACTCTCTCTCTCTCTCTCTCTCTCTCTCTCTCTCTCTCTCTCTCTCTCTCTTTTTCTCTCTTTCTCTCTCGAATACACGTATGTTTTTAATATTTATTAAAATATATTTACCATAGCCAAGTGGTGTGTCAGAACTTTCATGACTATATCTCAAGCAACTTGCATAGCTCTTATTCTCGCTCCCATCGTTGGACCCCAAAATACTGACAGACCTCTGCCGTTCAAGACATATCTGCCATACTCGATATCTGGTTTATATCCATATTTGGCAACCTACCTTCAGCACATAGGCGCAATATTTTATGGAGTACTACTCAATGTCTCGTTCGATTCCCTCGTCTACGGCTTCACCCTTCACGTCTGTGGACAAATTGAGCTGCTATGTTATCGTCTATCCAAGATCTACAAGGCTCATCCAGAACAGTGCCAAATTAATACGGACAAAGGCGCGATGATCAGCGAGTGCGTGAGACATCAGTTATACGTACACGAGATCGTGCGCAGGATACAATCGTTGTTTGTGTGGACCGTGACGATTTTATTCATTTTCAGCATGGTGACCCTGTGCACCAGTATTTTCCAAATGTCCAAGGTCGCGTAAACTGAAATCCCTACAACGATCCTTACGATTAAGTCCTAACAATTCAATCAGCGCCTCCGAAATTTTTCTAATATTATTTTAAATATTTTTTTTATATAATAGATAAAAAAATCATCGAAAAAAAGCGTCGTTACTGCTGAATATCTAATTTACAATGCATGTAATGGTACTCCACAAATATACTGAATTAATTTTTCTTGCAGAAGAAACTTCTCAGCGTCGGATTTCTCTCATTAACTTTATACCTCGGCTGTATGCTGTTTCAAGTGTTCTTTTACTGCTGGTATGGAAACGAGCTACAATTAAAGGTAATTATAAATTGCAAATAATAATTCAGTAAACTCAATTTTAACTTCTAACTTGTAATGGAATCTTGAACGATATGTATGAAATATAATATGAAATACATATGTATATAAACTCATAGAACGATCTAATCTTGTAATATTTATTTATAATTTTGCTAAATTACTTATTTGTTATAAAATTGTAGATTATTTTAAATTATAAACGTTTTATTTTTCTTATTATATATTTTATATATTATTCGAGCAATTGGACGACAGCCACAACGCAAGATCGCAAAAGTCTATGGTTCGTAATGGCTACTAGTCAAAAGGGATTGAAACTGTCTTACTATGGAATTTTTAATTTGGCTCTCGACACTTTCACTTGGGTAAATTTGTGACGATAATTCACTTTGTATAGTCTAGTGACAGTAACAAAATAATAGTCAACAATTCTTCCCTTTGCAGATTTTAAAAACGTCTTATTCTGCCTTTAACGTCTTACAACAGACGTCGATGTAATTAGACCTAAATTATAAAAAGAATTATAGATTATATAAAATTATGTATTTTCTTACAATCGTGTATTTTAGATATGTATATATACACGTGAAAGTTCTTTAAAATAGAATTGTCTCTGAATTATTATTATATCTTTACTGAACAGTATTTCACACAGGATAATATTTCACAAGTGTTAAAATAAGTAGATGTGTGGTTCTTATTATTTTTTATTCAACAATATTAAATTAAAGCAGTCAATTAGACCTACTAGATAGATATTTTAGCGCTAACATAATACTTATTAAGATATTAAAGAATCTCATCAATATATCTGCTCTTTATGCCTAACTGCCAGTAATTTTCATTTGCTATATTAATATTATTATAGTAATTTTATTTATTAAGTAGTTTTATTAAGTAGTTTTATTTATTGCAATTGTATTTTTTTTACAAAGCAGACCTGGTTTTGAATTACGATAATTTTTAAATTATACAAAGAAGAGTGATATTTATCTTCATCTATCGCTTTTTGTTTTGTTTTGAAAGCATTATTTTACATGTATATCACGATATATCTGCAACAAATTATAATGCTTTTGTGCAATAATGTTCAACATTTTTTTCGATTCGTTCCATTTAACGAATTAGCTAAACAGATCAAATTATTATGTTACTTATTAGAAAAATAAAACGTTATCCCGAGTAAAAATTTTATATATGATTATATATGAATGTTATGTATAAACATATATGATATTTGTCTCTATATGACCAAACATGAACATACATGATTACATATGCCGCTATATGTATATGAGACTATATATGATTGTATATGACTATATATGGCCATATATGTTAGTATAATACTGAACATACATATAATTCTATATTTTATTATAAATATGTAATTTAGTACTTTCTGAAAAAAATTTAACTTTATACTAAATTTCTTAATAATTATTTGTTTGATTAAAAGAATAAGATACACATATGCACTACAATAATTAAATTAATGTTAATCAGTCTTAATCGATTTGCAGTTATAAATAATATAATTATTCGGGTAGTTTGTGAAAACTTTTTTACCTCTTTTTTTAACTCTTTTTTACCTCTTTTTTTTCGTTTGTGAAAAGTTTTTTACCTCTTCCATTTTCAGGCTATACAGTTTATCAGTTACGTAGCACGTATTGTCTATATCTTTCATCGGTTTATTACTATTTCCTGTATCTATATTTCCCCGCAGATATTTAATATCGCACAACAGAAGTTACTCAACAAATTCTTGTTTTGCGGGGACACGCAATGGTCTTACGTTAAAAGCATATTATTTAAAGACAATTTCTTTACAGTGAATGAAATATATGCGATATTATGAAAGGGTTCTGATAACAGACCAAGGCGACTCGATCGAATTAAAATTTAATGTTTGACAACGTTGTACTCTGCATTACTAATGCAGCTCGTATTGACGGAATGTTGTCGTAAATTTTATTGCATGATAGAGAGAAAAACGGACTCATACAATATTAAAAAGACGAAGAAAATTTTGCGACGACGGAAACGGGACAAAAATAAGATCGACAATTACGTGAGAATAATACGTGTATGACGATATGGACATTCTACCAGTAAACTTTAAGGCTCTGCGTTTTTGCGGCGCATGGAAAGAGCAGCAGGACGATAATATGTGCGTTGGTTTTTTGCGTCTTTGTTATAGGTATGTCATATACATACAATTATACTAATTCAAATATATAATAAAACTAATACAAGATACAACATTTCTTGCATCGGTTTATGAATTTTATTATGTCTATGTGGCTTTCCTTTTCCTCGTCAATTTATTCATCGGTTGTTTAAAGCGGTGGATATCTGTAGGTATGCGATTTTTCTCTTGATATACGAATTTACGATACTCGATGTAATAGAGGTAATTCGCACGCGTGACCACATTCAAGAATTGACCGAAGGACTCTTCATGGGGTTGACTTTCTTAACACTGTGTGTGAAGTACGCGAATTTTTTACTACGGAAAAACGAGCTGTCGGATTTATTGGATTGTCTACGCGTAAAAATATGCCAGCCAAGAAATTCCATAGAAAAACTAATAATAGAAGAGCACAGCCGCAGAGGTACTAGAATAATTTGTGGATACGTTGCATGCATATTGCTTTACATAAATGTTATGTATTACAAAACATAATAAATAAGTATCAAAGATTATTAACGATGAAGGCAATCATGAGTAAACAATCATCTATTTAAATGTATCATTTCTTGTTAACAGCATATTGAGTCATATTGAGTTATACAGCATCTTTCAACTGATTGATTGCTTAATAGTTGTTGAATTATGCTAATAAGTAGTTAATTATAAACTATAAATTAAACGTAATTTGATGACAGTGATCAACATAAAATTTTGCTGAATAAAAAATGTTTGTAACAGCTAAGTGGAGTACCATGTCGTTCTTGATGATATCGTACGTGACCGGGCTCGGCTTTATCATCACGCCAGCTCTAGGATTACTCAAGGGAGGCAAGCGCGTGCTACCTTTAAAGACATACATTCCGTATTCCGTGTCAAATCTACTTCCATATTTAGCTACGTATCTGCAGCAATTTTTGGCGGTATTCTACGCAATAATGCTTAACGTTAACTTTGACTGTCTCGTTTATGGCTTCACGATTCAAGCCTGCGCACAAATCGATCTGATATGTTGCCGATTGACAGACAGTTTGAGGAATATTGGCGATATTGCTTCCGGGCGGGAGTCGGAAACAAACGCCTCGATCGTGGAATGCGTCAAACATCATTTGCTCGTGAGCATTCTGGTAAAGAAAATACGAGGATTGTTTATATGGACAGTAATGATATTCTTCTTCTTCAGTCTGCTCATCGTATGCACCAGTATCTTCCTAATATCAAAGGTATCGCCAGAGAGACGTTTGTGTATCTTCAACTATGCGACGTACATTTATTTCTTGCAGAAGAAACTGCTCAGCTTTGAGTTTCTTTCAATGTTCCTATATTTAAATGGTATGCTGCTTCAATTGTTTTATTACTGCTGGTACGGAAACGAGCTTGAGTTAAAGGTAAACAAGCGTAACATCGAAAATGATATATGTGTATAAAAACTTAGCACTTTTGAAGAAATAGATTAGAAATAAAATATAGTTCGGAGAAACACCTTGCGATCATTATTTATCTGGCACTGGAAATAATTAATACTCGTATCTCCGTACGAAGAAATATTATATGATTATATCGGTTGGCTAATGCTTTGCAATTTTTTTTTTCCGCAGAGTAAAGATATTGCGACCACTATTTATTCCTGCGACTGGACCATGGCGACGCCGCGAGAACGCAAATCGCTGATGCTGATTATGATAAGCAGTCAAAAAGGAATAATGTTTTCTTATCACGGAGTATTTGCGTTATCTCTCAATACTTTTGCTTGGGTAAGTAAATGATGAAAGTATGTATAATATAAATCTTACGTACATTACGTGTACTGTGAGATTTATACAGTATAATAATTATTACGGCAAAATGATCTGCGCAATCAGCTAAGACAGAAACGCAATTGCATAAATTAACATGAATATAAATAGATGTCTCTTGAACGATTCGTAATAGTGATGTAATATCTTGTTTCTGTAGATTTGCAGAACTTCTTACTCAGCTTATAATCTCTTGCAACAAGCATCAAATTAATCAACTGTCGGATTATATGTAATGGAAAAATATTTATTTTGCAGTTCTTATATATGTATTTTATATTGTACAAAACGTAATATATATATCGCAATATTTTTTTAAAGAATCTAGGATTTCAAAGAATATAGATATTATAATAACAGGATATTTATCGTAACTGATTAGACACATAACAAAAATTTTCACGCGATCATCGGATAAAAGAATGTATGGATGAGATATAGTAATGAAACGTAGAATTCTAATAAAAATGTTATTTGATTGAAATGCAATAATTCTGTAAAATTCATACACATTGTTGGTGCATTTTCACTAAAAACATAGAAGAATGCAAGAATGTTTCAAATTAGATAAAAAATATTGTCTATTATTCTTATTATTATTATTATTAGAATATTTTCGGATAATATGTCATTCCGTTATTCTGTCGGAAATTTCATTTCATTTTTATTAATAACTAGAGAAGAAATTTTTACTCGTATTATAATAATAAGGCGAAGAAGCACTTTGTTCATTTTCTATTTCTAGTCGTCATTAAGCTACTTTGACCAGTTTGGTTACAAAGTTGTCCCATTTAATTTGTCATTTGCACAGTGCTTTCCTTTTTTCTCGTCTACTGTTAGGTCAACGAATTCGCCAGTTGCTTGAAACGTCTGACAATCTGAATTGGCATTCAAATATCCATAAAAACCTCGTAAAAGTCGTACATCAATCTTTGGAGTCTTAGAGTCCGGGTTCATTATAGAAGATTACGACTACTGGCCATCCTAGTTCGAATAAATTGATCGTAAGATGATTCTGCATATCCTCTATCGAGAATCTGATTCGCGAAACAGGACAAACATTCATCACGATATTTAAATGCGCAAACTTCCATAGAAGTGAATATTTCGTTATCGCGATTGTTGTTTGAAATTGATTTGCTGTATATCAATTAGATTGAAATATTTTAAATAAATGTTTTATCTGCCATAATTTATAAAACTTTATAATAAAAATTTAGATAAGGCAAAATAATTTAAAATAAATAACAAATAAATTGTTTTCTGTGTACAATCTCTTAATTATTTTTTATTAATATATTCTAACTTATATCTCCTAATTTTCTTTCTTAAGAGTATTTGCTTTATTTATTAATACCCAATGCATTTGGAGTTGAATAAATTTTCAGATAATATTATAATTGATTTTATATTAGCCTTTATTAGAATTAAGTAAAACAGAATAGAATTTATCCACAAAATCGTACATTCTCTGTTTTGTTGTGAAAACATTTCCCTATATTATGTAGCAACGTACTTGTAACAAATTTCAACATTGTTTTATGTAATAACGTTTATTTCCACTGAATCATTCAGTTTCGCAAATTATTTCACAGGCAAATCAAGTTCTATCTGTTGTCAATTAAAAAATATTAAACGAAATTTTATACGTATAAATGCGAATGTATAATTCGCATTAATTTTGGATAAATACAAAGACATTGCAAATAATATTTATTTTAACGATTAAACATTGTAAAGAAACAAGTCTTTGAAGTTCATTGTGACAGCTAAAAAGGAATAACTTTTGCCACTGTAGAATATTTGTGGTATCTCTAAATATATGGGTGTAAAACGTTATGAAATATGTCAAATTTATATCGTTGAAACAATCTATTAAATATCCATATTAATATTAAGAATTAAATTAATTTAAACTGATTAATTAATTGAGATGTAAAAAGAAAGTATTTAAAGTATTTAATATTATAATAGTGTAAATATACATAGTTTTGTTATCTCCGTGATTTTTAAGTCTTAATCAATTTTTAATCTTCTATACGGCAAATTTCGAATTAATAACATCACGTATATTGTAAAAAATTAAAAAATGTACTTTGTACGTATATTCTACATATATTTAATATAGACAAGAAATGCAAGATGTAATTAGTATAACTTTTTTTTGGAGGGTAAACAAATGAAAATAACGGGTGGACAAACGTGGACAAACAGTGGACAAACGAATGCAATAATGATTTTAACAAAATTCGCATTTAGGGGTGCCTACTTCTCAGAGCTGCTCTGAGTAGTCGGCACTCCTAAATGCGAATTTTGGTAAAATCATTATTGCATTCGTTTGTCCACTGTTTGTCCACGTTTGTCCACCCATTATTTTCGTTTGTCCACCCTATTATTATTATATTTTTCATAATAATGAAAAATAATCACTTGGGGGTACTACAAACTTTTTTTTAGTATAACTTTTTTTTGGAGGGTGGACCAATGAAAATAACGGGTGGACAAACGTGGACAAACAGTGGACAAACGAATGCAATAATGATTTTACCAAAATTCGCATTTAGAGGTACCGACTTCTCAGAGCTGCTCTGAGAATTCGGCACTCTTAATAGTACTTTTTAAAAAAATTTAATTTTATGTATCACATTTTTATATAATTATTTTTTACACTAAAAAGGATAAAATACGGGGTTCTAAACAATAAAGCTGTAGTTTTAGTGCTTAAATAATTCTGTGTAATGTGAATTTATATACTATGTGTTCAATCCTGCATACTGCGCGAATTAAATTTCAATTTTGAAACGCAATTCTAACAGATGTTAGAATTGCGTTTCAAGACTGAAATTTTAATCAATTTGAGAACAGTTCATGAAAAACTTCTTACCTTCTCCACTTTCAGACTATGCGGTTTATCATTTACGTATATAGAACTAGTCTATACCTTTCGCCAATCTATTATACTATTTTCTATGTCTCTGTTTTCCTGCGGATATTTAATATTACATAACAGAAAAGTTGTTCAACAAATTCTTATTTCGCGAGACACGCAACAATCTTATGTTAAAAGCATACTATATAAAAATGATTTGCTTTCTTCGTTGAACGAAACATATGCGATATTGAAAAAAGGCTCCGATGAAACGAACTATTCGATCGTATTAAAATTTAATGTGCGGTTGACAACATTGTATGGCATTACTAATGCAGCTCGTAATAATGGAATGTTATCGGAAATTTTACCTGATAAAGAAATAGAATCGAACTTATACAATATTAAAAGACGAAGAAAATTTTGCGACAACTGAAACGAGACAAGAATAAGGTCGACGACTACGTGAGAATAATATGTCGATATGGATATTCTACCAGTAAACTTTAGGGCTCTGCGTTTTTGCGGCGCATGGAAAGAGCAAGAGGACAATAATATATGCGTCAGGTTTTTGCGCATTTGTTACAGGTATGTGTGTTATATACACGAAGCAGTTGTATTAAAATATACGATAAAAATTGTGTGTGCGATATATACAAAACGTTTCTTGCATCGGTTTGTGAATTCAGCCATGTCTGAGCCTTCTCTTTTCCTCGTCAGTTTATTCATCGATTATTTAAAACTGTGGATATCTGCAGGTACGCAATTTTTCTCTTGATATATGAGTTTACGATATTCGATGTAATAGAAGTGATTCGCACGCGCGACCACGTTCAAGAGCTGACCGAAGGACTTTTCCTGGGACTGACTTTCTTAACGTTGTGCGTGAAATACGCGAATTTTTTGCTGCGAGAGAGTGAACTGTCGGATTTGTTGGATTGCCTGCGTGTAAAAATATGTCAGCCTAGGAATTCCACGGAAAAGTTGATAATAGAACAGCACAGTCGTAGAGGTACTCAAGATACATATTCGCAGATACATGTGTGTATGCATATTTCTTTACGTAAATGTTATGTATCATGAAATGTGTATCAAAGATTATTATTAATGATCGAGACAATTGAGAATAAATAATCACCTGTTAAATATCATTTAATTAATTATAAATGTTATGTAACTTTAACAAATAGTAAAATTCTGTTAAAACATTGCGTTTTAGCTTTTCCATCTTTTTTTTTATTTAACATAAAGTATCAGACATATTGGATTACAAAAACATAATAAATGTTCAATTAAAAAAATTATATATTATTTAAAATTAATTGTGAGTTGATAGTGAACACGCGTTCTTAATTTCTTCCTAATCGGACTCGTAGAGAAACAAAAGATAGAAGATTAATAAAATATTTAGTTTTAATTGGAGTTTACTGGAAATCAAATGTTTAACAGCTAAGTGGAGCAGTATATTGTTCATGATGATATCGTACATGACCGGATTTGGCTTCATGATTACGCCAGCTCTAGGATTACTGAAGGGGGGCGAACGCGTGTTGCCGTTGAAGTCGTACATCCCATATTCTGTGTCAAACCTCCTTCCATATCTAGCTACGTATCTGCAGCAATTTTTGACCTTATTCTACGGAATAATGCTTAATGTTACCTTTGACTGTCTTGTTTATGGCTTCACAATTCAAGTTTGTGCGCAGATCGAGCTGATGTGCTGCCGCTTGACAGACAGTTTGAAGAACTCCGGTCGTATTTCTTCCGGACGAAATCAGGAAACAAGCGCTTCGATCAACGAATGTGTCAAACATCATTTGCTCGTGAGCATTCTGGTAAAGAAAATAAGAGGATTGTTCATATGGACAGTAATGATATTCTTCTTCTTCAGTCTGCTTATTGTATGCACCAGTATCTTCCTAATATCAAAGGTATTGCAGGAAAAATATCTTATAATATAAATAAAGTTAAAGGACTCTTATTATAAATAAATAATATAATGAAAATAAAGGGCAAGTAAGAATCAAATTTAAAATTTTTTATATTTATGATGTAAAACATTTAATATATAGATAAAATTGGATAATATGACATTTTCGGCACCACGATTGTCTTTAAGTATTTCAATAAATAACAAAAGACATTTTACGTATCCTCGACAATGCGACGTACATTTAATTTTTGCAGAAGAAACTACTCAGCTTTGAATTTCTTTCAATGTTTCTGTATCTGAGCGGCATGCTGCTTCAACTGTTCTATTATTGCTGGTACGGAAACGAGCTTGAGTTGAAGGTATATAAGTGTATAGTTGTATAAATAATATATAAAAACTTAGCATCTTTTAAGAAACACTTACATGAAAAACAGAAAGTTTTTAAAAATTTTAAACCTAATCTACAATGTGCTCATTGTTTCCCGTTACTAGCTTTTTACCATTTTTTATTTATTGCCTTTTAGCTTTTTATCTTTCTTCTGTTGAAGAAAAAATTCGAGCGTCAAAAGAGATAAGAAACGCGTTACAAGAAGCACAATTGTAAAATAGTAGTGAAATAGGATAAAAGGATGAAAGGTAAAAAGCAAGAAATAGGAAGCAAAGAATCAGAGATGTGCAAAAAGGATTGGCCAATCGCGTGCAAAAATAATTTTACAGTCCTAAAAGTATATTATATAGTTATTTGTGTATCTATAGATCAATTAAAATGAGAAGACAAGAAAAAAAATTGTGTAGATATGTGTCAATAGAAATAGAAGGAGAACAATTTTAATGAAGACGTAGCCAACACTCAGGAAGCGATTTTATCGCATTTGTTCCGTCTAAGTAAGTAATAAGTATAATACGTTGGATCTTGGCTGGTTTCTGGATTTGACCACCAATATGCTACGCATGCGTTAGTGCTTGCTTGAGCATGCCTCTACAAAGAGCATATTGTAGATTAAACTGTACGATTCAATAAAGAAATAACTTACGACGATTGTTCGAATATTATCTCGCAATGAGTTAATATCTCCATATAAACAAATATGTATCTAATATCGATTAATCGCTTTGAGAATTTCCTTCACAGAGTAAAGACATTGCGACAGCTGTTTATTCCTGCGACTGGACAATGGTGACACCGCGAGAACGCAGATCGTTGATGCTGATTATGATATGCAGTCAAAAAGGAATAATATTCTCTTATCATGGAGTGTTTGCGTTATCTCTTAATACTTTTACTTGGGTAAGTAAATCAAAATAAATGGAATATATATATTTATGGAATGTATATTATAAATGTGTTTCACTTGACGCTCGCAACGCTGGCATTACTTCATTCTTATTGTTTATCAAATGTTAAACAAGGACAAAATAATAAATGTCGCGAGAGTTGTGAACGCCAAGTATATTAAGGCTCAGTTTTACAACTTATAGAACGCTTAATTTATTCTTTATCTTTTTATTATAATTTTATTAGATGAGAAATAAGTTGAATTTAAGAGTTAACCGTGATGAGTTGTGAAACTGGGTCTATAGCTAAGTGTATTGTAAAATTTATGTGATACAAAAATGAGGTAGTATTTGTATTTATAGTTAAGTAGAAGCCAATTCCGTAAATTAACATAAATATAAATAAACATTTTTTAGACATTTCACAGTAATACAACATCTTATTTCTGTAGATTTGCAGGACTTCTTACTCAGCTTACAATCTCTTGCAGCAAGCATCAAACTGATCAATTATTTCATTAAATGTAATGAAAAAATAATATTTATTTTATTTCGTAGTTTTTAAATCTTATTATACAAAACATACCGGTGCAGTATTTTTTCCATTTAACCATTATAATAGATTTTTTTCACAATAAATATATATTAATTTTTTTTTAGACATATTATAAACGTTTTCACGCAATGCATTATTGAGATGCATCATTAAAAAATTTAATGAGGCACATAGCAATTCACATATCAAATTCTTAGATAAGAAGCCTATAAGATAAAAATTCCATTATACATATATAGTTTTGATATTTCATTAAAAATGTGGAAGAACGCGAAAAGTTGTAAAATAGATCAAAATTGTCTCTAAATAGTTTTAGTCTCTAAATTGTCTTCTGAGATATTGTCGAATTATATGGCACCTGCTGTTTTGTTGAAAATATTTTTTTATTTTTGGTCATATCAACACGAAAAGAGCTAGACTTTTCGCATTTGCTGTTTCGATTCGTCGTCATTAGGCTGATTTTGCCAGTTTACTCACGAAGGCATCCCATTTCACTTGCCATTGGCTCAACGCTTTCTTCTTCTCTCGATCGTTCAGACTACTGTAGATCAGAGAATTCATTGCTAATTGCTTGAGACTCCTGAGATCTGAATTGGCACTCATAATACCCATAAAGGCCTCGTAAAAATCATAGGTCAACCCCTTGGCACCCCAAAGTGCGGGATCATCGTTGGAGACTACCACTGGCGATCCCTTTGCGAATAAACTAGCCGCAGGGTGATTTCGCATGTCCTCGACAAGACCGAGAACCTGGTTTGAAATGGGACAGACTTCCACCGCTATATTTAACTGCTGCACAAACTTCCATACGAGCGGGTGCTTGGTTAACGCATATCTGTATAGAGAAATATCATCGATGTTTAAAATCAATTTGCTATATTAATCCTAGCTATACTCTTTTTTCTATCTTTGGTATACACTCCTGAGTTCTTTAAAACTCTATCAATATTTGTTACCGTAACTTTCGTAAAATGGACACATTTGAATTAATTTTTTTTTCAATTGATAAAGAATTGATTAAGGAACAAGCCCATAATGTGTAAAAGTTAATAGAATTAAGAAGCTTCAACATATATACGTAGGTTTAAAGAAAAAGAAAAGTACAGAAACACGAAAAAATTTTGATTATTAACAAATTGCAGTTTTTGGGACTAGAGTTAAATAAACTATAGAGTATTTTAGATAAATGTTTGATATTTCATAACTCATTTTACAAAATTTTGTAATAAAAAAAAATATATATATGTAGAGAGAGAGAGAGAGAGAGAGAGAGAGAGAGAGAGAGAGAGAGAGAGAGAGAGAGAGAAGAGAGAGAGAGAGAGATAAGGTAAAAAAGGTTTCAAAATAATTCTAGATAAGTAAATTGCTTTTTCTATTTGACTTCTTAATTTTTAACAGTGTTTTAATTCGGACTTTTTAACACATTGAGCGCTGACCAATTTTTATAGGTGTATTGCAGGAGCCGAAGCTTGAAACTATCCAATGTTTGAAAATTGTTATTTTTTTAATTTTGAGAACCTTGATTAGTTATTTTAATATATTGCTGAAAATCACGGAAATCTGTGGCACACGGTGTGTGTCGCCGCGACGCTCAACGTGTTAATTTTTAATTTCTTTTAAGTATTTGCTTTATTTACCCGTGGCCAATGCGTTTGGTGTTGAGCATGACAGCGTCCAAGAGATTTAAATCGGTAGATTCTCCGTTCCAATTGGTCTCACCGGAATGGAAAAAGAACGGAATGCTCGGATCAACGCTTTTTAATTTATCGGCAAATTCGATGAGGGGTTTTCCTTTATCCTCCTGGCCAACCAAGTCAAAACCAACTATAAAATCCGGGAAGCGTTGCTTTAACTGCGTCAATGTTTTCAGATAATAGTCTAATCTATTCTGGTCTGCACCACGATGTGGCGCATATATAACTTTAGCGCCGATGAAATCAGGATGATCCTTCACAAACCTGTCGCACCCATTATTATATGTTATCTCAATCACATTATTTCTCGGTGCAGCCACCGAATATTGAAATAACTAATAAAATAAAATAACTTATGTCAAAAAACTTCTCGAGATTAGTTTCAAAATAAGAAAAATTGTTACAATGTCACGTTTATTAATTACTACATTTATTTTACTTATTATTCTCTTATTTGAAGTTATGAAAATAAAATCAATTAAAAAAGGAAGCATCTTGCCTATCGGTGACGTCTTTCTGGATTTGTGTTTTTTCGAATGTTCCGTACGATTTGCCGTCATACGTATCGTCAAATGTTGATAACGTCGATCGTATTTCCGCGTACATTACGTTGTCCTCGTAAAGTTCCTGTAGATTGCGATAAAAGAGATCTTCAAGGACCGGTCGGTATGATAAATAATCCATGGAACTGAAAATGCGATTAAACTTCTCCCATGCCTTATCAACGGTACTGTAAACGCTATTGGGATTTTCCGTAACCATAGTGAATGATCGCTTGATCTTTTCGTTAATATCTTTGGCCCGAATCGGATCTTTCCGTACATCGCTCAATAATTTCCAGCGGCAATTGTTGTCAGGCTTCTTAAAAAACTTAAGTTGCACAGTGTCATTCTTATCACATACGTACAAGTTCTTGCGATAAGTTAAATTGTTAAATCGATAGTCGAACGAAGCCATGGCAGAATCGTGAGCGTGGAGAACAGCACCTTTAGGCATGTCGCGCAATATTTTGAACACCTCAGACTTCTCAATCTTTGGTATCACTTCCATAAAATTATACGACGGCAAAAAACTGTTGCCAGTTATAAAACCTGCAGAAATATCAAGATTCCAGTATTATAAATTAATCAAACAAGGAAAATGTTAGAATTATGCAAGGTCGCAAACTTAGAAATCCTCGTTAATATTAATTTTTTCATTATGCCTTTATAAGCCAAGTTCTAAGTATATTGATTTTCTGTTAATAGATGTTTTTCAATAAAAGATATAATTAACATAGTGTAACACAGAGACTCATTTTATCCTTATTTAGCATTAGCAAACGTTAAGAGTATAGTGTTTCATTGTATTATACTTTGTTGATTGTGCTTTTGCTAAAAAATTTAATATGTAAAGTATCTTTTTTGTGAACATTATATCACTGAGCATCGCGTCCGACAAGTTATTTGTCATATTCGCGTCGTAAAAGCGGATATTCTCACGTTTAATTCATACAGTGATTCAAGGTTTGTGCATAATCGTTGATAACGTGCAGCTGACAAATCATTAATCTATAATATGATAGCTGAGAAGACGCATGTTTCTCAACGTAATTTAAAGGGTCAAATTATCGAAGTTAAATAATGTAAGTGTATGCTGTAAAATAAAAGTTTTTTTAAATAAAAATTTTGAACATAGCTATTAGTTATGATACGTTCTATGAAAGTATTATAATGCGATAAAAATGACTTTATATTAAATGAAAATTCTTTTTAATTTTCTTATTGCAAAATTTATTTCAGAATGACGTCTACGAATTTGTTTCATTTGAAAAAAAAAAAAGAATATAAAATAATTTTAAAGTGTCAATCTTTTTTTTGAACTTATTTAATCGCGGACAAGACAAGCGCGATGGTCAGTCGCGAATTGATCTCATTTGCGCGCGAACTAACGATTGTAAGTGAAAGGATCGAACCGTCGTAGATTTCTCGACATTTTGCCTTCATTAGAACATCATTGGCCTTGGACTCGATGGGACTAAGTTCTAAATCACCGCCCAGCGATTCTCGCTTTTCATCCAACAATAGTTTTCGTCGTAATTGCAAATACGGTTCCCGTTGCCAAGGTTTCTGCATGTGCTGTTGTGTCGCTGTCGTGATATCACGCGGGTGCTCATGTGTCTCGTGGTGGTGGTGTTCGTGGGTCTCGTGGCGGTGTCCGAAAATCGCCTGACCATAGATCAGGATCGCCAAAATGAATAAGAATGCTTTAGCCATGGTCGTGGAAAATTGTTGCCGCAAACGTCGTTATCAAATCTTGATTTAGCGATGCAGCAGCGTGCGCCTCGTTGGAATGTTATGCGCGGTCTTGCGTGATCATGTGATCGACGCGGTCGCTCGATCTCCACTGAATGACTTACCATAGGAACCACCATTATACATAGAAGGAGGAACCTGACCGATAAATTCATTGGCACTCATTGACCACCTGCGTTGTTGACGATCAACGCCATGTGTGTTTATTAATCATTCATATAAATCAATTTAAATAAATCAAGCGTTGTGACAGGAGTCCAAACGCGCGATTGGTTTAATATTTTATGTAAATTCATGTAAATGTATTCAGATTTTAATAAATGAAATTTCTCGCTACAACTGACATATTTGGCACGGTGATAAAAAGATATTCATGTATGCAGCGTAGGTATTAGGAAGAAAAGAAAGACCGTTTATCTTTCGCTACAGATTTGTTGACTGATTTGGAATCGTTTTACCCCACGGTAAAGGAATTTAAAATTGGTAATGAAGAGTGTGTCCCACATTAATTGAACATTTGTCTATAAAGGCGCTTTCAGAGATGTGGCCAATACATATGCCAACTTAGCTGTAAAATATTAGCTTACATTCAATATAAATTATAATTATATATGTATGTTATGTGCATATATAATGTTTGTTAATGTTGGCGAACGTTAGCCATATCACATCTGGAGGTGCCTTAATAAGTATTGAGCGTCAAAGCATTCTTCATCGATTATTTTATTTTTTTAATACACATTAATCAAACTATTGTTTCATTCATCTAGAGTAAAAGAAAACGTTATGAATGATCAGATATATATTTTCTTTTTGAATTTTTCGTTTATCTCATTAACAAAAAAATGTGTAAATTTTATGTATATAACATATAAAAATTAATCTGTAAGAAATAAATAAATTTTAAAACAGCATCACGATCAATACTAGATTACATTATAAAAAAAGATGCTTTCTCCAAAACCTGCACCTCTCACCGCGATAAAAAACAAGATTTTTTTCCAGTCTGATATACATCGAATAATAAATTACCATAATGATCGCCTAAAGCAAATATAAAACATATGCCGACGATAAGATAGATGATGCTAATAAAACAATATAAAATGCACGTAATAAAGTGAAATTAATCAAAAATATAAATAAATATTTAATTAATGCAAATACTAAGAAATATAGAGTATGGACTGCGCCATCCGTGTGTAAAATTGATCGACAAAATAAAAAGAAATAAGAAGTCGGCGACCAGCCTATTTCTTCTATCTCTGTATGCTCCTTTCTTCTCATTTTTTACCACATTTGATGTACTATTTACAAACAAATGGTGCAAATCCATGTTAGTATAGTACAAATGACAAACAATGCATATATAATATATTCGAGTTATCATTGAGTTTAATCATTTAATGATACAATAAATTAAACATATAATTTTATACGATTGTAAACTTTAAACTTAATTATAATCTTTTTTTATAAAAAAAAATTTTTAAAAGAAAAATGAATATACATTAAGTATTATACATAAATAAGTATATTTAATATTACATTCTTCTTAAAGTAAAAGGTGCTTATTTTCTTAATAAAAGATAGTTATTAATAAACATAGTTATTTAAAAATTAACTGTTAAAAATGGATATATATGTATATATATAAAATAAATGCAAGAAGATCTAAAAAAAGTTTATTTGTAAACAATCTATTAACTCTCAGGCGCACAAGATGGGCTAGAAAAAGTCAAAACGACGTACGTCAAAATGATGATTTTTATAAAATTTGATTACTTGTTAACTTTAAGCTCAAAATAAAGTCATTTTAGTATTATTTTAATTTTTTTATTTTTTCTTATGTGTTCCTTGAGTAGTAAAGAAAAAACTTGGTGCTTCCTGGTCTTATCAATACATTTCTATTAATACATTCTATATTAATATATCAACACAGCAATGTCACCAACGTAGGAAAACTATATATATTTATTATCATTATAAACATTCATTTCTGTCTAGTTTATCGAAGAAATAATTTGAAAAATTAATTTACTGATTGACATAATTTGAATACGCTTGCTGTACAAAACAATTTATAGCTGCTTATGATGCATTTCAACAATTTGACATATTTGGCACTTCGATATACATTAATCATGTCAGGAAATCAATTTTTCATATTTTTATGATAAACTAGACACACAAAAATAAACATTCAAAAAATATTCTACCGATAAACGGGGAATTCCCTCTAGCACTTCCTTTAAGCAAAAAATTTTACATAATGATTTAGGCGTGCATATTTATAAAACGTATTCATCGTGTAAAAATAAGGACACATATTGAGCTATGATAAAAAATAAATTCCTCCATAGAAAATTATATCATAATAACTGAAATAGTCTTTTAAAATAAGAAGATATATAAGATACTAACGATACGCTTATTTGTTAGAAAATGTTTATTTGTTATTTATGTGCTACCGTAACTACGAGTGCATGTCACAGTACCTACATGTAGGATATTCTTCTAGCATTAAGAGACTTTATTTCAATTTTGTACCAGTTGTTTGCTTAAACAAACCTGAACTCCCGGTTTTTAACATTAAAATCCATATACGCATCAAAGTAAATTATTTTTATACGATTCCAGATAGTCAATTTTGCAGAAACAGATTTTAAGCAAAATATTCTATCAATTTCTGATGACAGAGGCAACAATTTCATGCAGAGTCTGTAATATCTGATGATGTCGCCAAACTATTGCCAAAAATATGGCAATGTTTGATAACATGCTAATGCTAGCAAATTGGCAGCAGAAACTGAGCAAGATTTGCATCTTGCTCGGTTTCTGTCGTTAGATTACCCCATACATGCAAATACTGATCGATTTCTGCTGGCAACCTGCTGTCTCATTATACGAACACTTTCTATCAATAAGAGTAGAATGAGATCACAGATTGATATTGGTCTGCTGACATTTCTGATTAAATTTGAGTTTGTCGACATTCTGCTATAACATTTTGCTTACTGAGATACTTTTGTACTGTTTCTGTAAATGTAAAATTTCTTTTCGTTGCTTCACACAGAAAATCACACAGAATAAGCAATATTAATTCGCACAACTTTCGTTATAACGCACGTACGTTGAAGCATCATCTTTCAAAAATATGCAAAACATAAATTTAATTGATGTAAAACGTGACATATTTATACTAGCTGCAACACCATCTTTTAAAAGTTCTTACGAACTTTTTAAACAATCTAATATAGATAAATAAATATACTAAGTTTTTCCGTATATTTTTAAAACACATGTGTAAAGTATAACATGTCAATGTATGTAAACTCGGTATTACTAGAATTACAGCACTTTCTTTCAAGGAACTTCAGATTGCATAGAAGAAGAGTTACAAATCGTAACTACTCATTACATCGACTCATAATGCTATTTAGTAATTCGTGACTTTCATGTGTGTGTTCTGGAAATAAAAAGAAAATATCTCATTATGTACATACGCGGCATTATAGACATGCACTTTTTAAAAAATAGCGTTTCTATGCCGTGTTTAATTTAATTGTATATCCTTGAATACATATGCTAATAAATGCAAAATCGTGATTAAAAAAGTTGATAGAAAACGATAGAAAAAATCTATCATTTTAAATATAGAATTTAGTTCGTAAATTCACTAATTTGAATCAAATATAATGGAAGTCTTGTACAGATCTTATAGAACTTGATAAAATACGACAGAATTCATAGTCGATCAATCGTGATGATCGCTAAGTCGACGATAGAAAATGATATCTGGAGACGCGGGAGTGTCTCCAGCCATGTTAAAAAAAACTACTATAGTTAATTTAAATAAACTTATATAAAACAATACAAATTGATAAAAATGCTATCTTTTTTAATCGTTCTCTATTAACTTTTTTTTTTACCAGGGAAGGGAAATAACCATAAGAAAAAAACTCATTTTATGTCACACTTTATGTCACACAACATTTATATTGCACCATTATACAAAATAATCTACATTTAATGGGATTTATCTTTGCGTTATATCTCAAATGAGAAACTTCCGAGTTACGTAATCGTAACATGGCGGTATATTCATAATTATCTTCCTCTATCTGAATATTGTATACAAAATACACATATGTAACATAAAAAGATATCCTAGTGTCAAAAACACTCAAAAGCGTGATGACCTCAAATCAAACTGCTGTCTTTGAACGCTTGTTTAAAAATATCATTCTCTCTCTCTCTCTCTCTCTCTCCCTCTCTCTCTCTCCCTCTCTCTCTCTCCCTCTCTTTCTCTCATCGACTTATTAATAAAATGTTACAATTTAAAAAAAAACGCAACCGATTGTGGCTTATTTTGCGCAAGTGCGGTTAGTTCTAAAATACTCTCATAAAATGTAAATTATTATTAGAACATTGATTGAATTTTAAATTATAATTATGTATAATAATTAAGGAAAATAATAATATATACATATAATATATATACATATACATATATAATTATTTATATTAATTAATTTTTTTTTCCAATTATGTCAGTCTTTTTCTCGAAATTAAAATCAAATTATCATGATAGCTGCGCTCATTTATTTAAAAGTATTTGCGCGCTTGTAAATATTTTTTTATATAATTGATTAGTATTTTTTTAAATATTGTTATCTTACGCGTTGAAAATTTGTGATAAAAGAAGATATATATGGTTTTTCGTGGAATCTAATTTAACGTCTGCAACCGTGCACTGATGATTACGATATTTGATAAGAATCGCATACACGATAATTGATATTAAATAGTAAGACGAAATAACAAATTTTTTTTTTCTTATAAGCTCAATAAAATTCTATACGTTTCGATTTAAGTCTTGCAATCAGCAAATAAGTCTTTTTTCTATTTCCTTACATTCTAGGTTTCGTATACAGATATACACATATGTAAGATAGAATCTCATATATATAGCCACATATAATTGTAACCGGAATATATATTCTGTTAAATAAAATTTTCGGTATTAAATATGTTAGAAAAATGTATGTTTGTCATTTATTTCCAAATGCAATTTGTAT